TCAAGTTACTTCTCTCGGAATGTTCATACCAGGATATCATCACCAACTAACACTTCCAATATCCAGTGTTCGAAAACAGTCTCGTGCGATGGGGTATTTACAGGGAAATATATCTAGCTTGATTAACGGAACGTAATGTATGAAATTGGGTAGCCGCACATTGCTGGTGTCCTCACTACGTATTCTCATGCGGATTTGAGGATATATATGCACACAGTGCGTATTTAACCTCAAGCAAAGCACAAGCAACAAGCAATGTCGAACTTACGCATACCTCATCCACGTTAAAAAAAAAATAAAAACTCCACTCAAGGAAAATATTTCAGGTAAAACATTTCGGGTCAATTTTCCTTATTGAGAGCAACTCAGTTCCCGTCAAAAAAAAAAAAAAAAAAAAAAAGTCGAATTTATGCTCCAGGAAAGTGGCAAAACTGGTTAGAGGTGTTTGTAAACGTGTCAGGAAGCCAGTGTAGTAGATCAGTTGAGTTTTACAATAGTCATCTACTATAGAAGATGCTTCAGTGAATCAGGACGTCTACGTCCTGATTCACTATAGCATCACTATAGAGATGTGATGCTATAGTGATGCATTCACTATAGCATCACTATTGAGTAAACAAACCATGCCACAGATGGGGTTAGAACCCGCGTCGGTCTGGAGTTCTGAGACACTCTGATCGCGGGTTCTAGCCCCACCCGTGGTATGGTTTGTTTGCAATCGCGTCATTACGATTTCGTAAATCACTACAGAGTCCTTAAAACTACGCCTTTAAGGGTGATGGACTGATTACATCGTCCTCACATCTCTTCTGCTTCTACCAACTTTTCTGTACTCGACTGAAGAAGCCTGCTGTGCAGGCGAAGAGTTTCGAAATAAAGATACCTAACTATTGCACATGTGTCTTGCCTAACAACCTGTCGGTATTTTATGCCATTTTAATATTCAATCAGGACGTAGTTAAGTTACAGATAGTGCTATAGATGGTAGTGTTACTGTTCTTGTTATTGCTTTTGTTGCTGATATTTCTTTTGTTGCTGTTATTGCTTTTGTTGTTGCTATTGCTTTTGTTTTTGCTATTGCTTTGTTGTTGATATTGCTTTTGTTGCTGCTATTGCTTTTGTTGTTGCTGTTGCTTCTGTTGCTATTGCTTTCGTTGTTGATATTGCTTTTGTTGTTATTGCTTTTATTGTTGATATTGCTTTTGTTGTTGATATTGCTTTTGTTGTTGATATTGCTTCTGTTGTTGATATTGCTTTTGTTGTTATTGCTTTTGTTGCTGCTATTGCTTTTGTTGCTGCTATTGTTTTTGTTGCTGCTATTGTTTTTGTTGCTGCTATTGCTTTTGTTGTTGATATTGCTTTTGTTGTTGATATTGCTTTTGTTATTGCTTTTGTTGTTATTGCTTTTGTTGCTGCTATTGCTTTTGTTGCTGCTATTGCTTTTGTTGTTGCTGTTGCTTTTGTTGCTATTGCTTTTGTTTTTGCTATTGCTTTTGTTGCTGCTATTGCTTTTGTTGTTGTTGCTTCTGTTGCTATTGTTTTTGTTGTTATCGATTTTGTTGTTGATATTGCTTTTGTTGTTGTTATTGCTTTTTTTGTTATTGCTTTTGTTGATATTGCTTTTTGTTGCTGCTATTGCTTTTGTTATTCTTTTATTGTTGATATTGCTTTTGTTGCTGCCATTGCTTTTGTTGTTGCTATTGCTTTTGTTGCTGCTATTGCTTTTGTTGTTGCTATTGCTTTTGTTGCTGCTATTGCTATTGTTATTGATTTTATTGTTGTTGCTTTTGTTGTTGATACTGCTTTTGTTGTTACTTTTATTGTTCACTTTGCTGCTTTTGTTGCTTTTTATTGTTGCTTCTGCGAAGTACAGTAAGTTACTCTCGACTGGAAACACCGGAACTCCGTTGACATTCCAGCCAGATTTCTAAATGATGAGGCCTCCGGAGTGCCTGTCCCCACAGCTCACATTATAAATTTCTCCGTCACTAAAAATCCAGGGGCAAATAAGGTCAAGGCAGTCACTCCCATCTTGAAGTAAACAGGTATGATGGTTGTCAGTGATGGAATGCCTACTGGAATGCTCAGCGTGATTTTCAGAATTCCAGAGAAAACGGTATAGTATCAAAGGACCGGTTATATTGGCAAATAACTCTCATCTAGGAGAGATAGAGAAGCTTACGATTTTGTAAATGGTCCAAGTCGGACCGAAACGTCGTCATAAGCTCCTCGTATGTGCGGGTTATTTGTGTATTGTTCCAGTCACGGTATTGTGACTTTTTGTTCCTTACCGGTTATATACTTATCTTAATGCCAAAAACATCCTCCAGTCAGATTTCAGGAGATTTCACTCAACGGATTTCTCTTTAATTGATGGATTACATAAGAAGCTGGATGTCAATGGGAATACAGTGAACCACAGCAAATTATGTGGGAATCTACAAGTCATCGACCTGGGCTCTGTAGACTGGTTTAAGTCGCACCTGCACAGCAGGAAACAAACTGTCAAGGTTAATAGGGAATCAGGACTCCTGTTGATAATTTGTGGCGTTCCACAAGGAGGTATTTTGGGTCCCTTATTTGTGTTATGCAAATGATATACCCGTTAATGCTGAGTGTAAAGTTATACTGTATGCAGATGGTGCTCTGCTAGTCTCAAGACTTATAGACTGTAACTAATGTACTGACACAGGAACCAGAGTCTGGCAGTAAGTGGTTAAGAAAGGAACTTTCGCTTTACTTAGGGAAAACAGAAGCCATACATACTATTTGGCATAAAATTTAAACTGATGAGGGTAAATACTATTAGTGTATTGTGTAGCGGGGAATTCATATCAACAATATGATGACTGCCTGGCGGCCCCGTCATTGTTGACAGTCCTGACAACCCAGCCACGACCCTCGCTGGGTCACAGTGAGTGCAGGAAAATTTACTCATATATTATGAGCTTTTTTGCCCACGTTGCCAACGTGGCATTTGTTAGTTCACTTTCCGTTTGTATTTATTTTATCTTCTTTTTTCAATGTTGCGTTAGTTTTACTGTCTCCATTTTTTTATTGTCAGGTTGGTTTTTTGGCTTTTTTCCCCCTGTTTGGATCTCTGTTTTTGTTTCTTTTTCACTGTTTCTGTGGGTTTTTTTCTCTGTTTCGTTGGTTTTTAATGTTATCTTGCTGAGATTTTAGTCTCGTTGTATTTTGACTGCAGCGATGCTTTTGTTTACTCGGTTTTTAATTTCTCGTTCTTCTGTGGACCGGTTTATATTCTGGCTGAGAAGTGGAATGATTCAAACCGGCTTAACCACCGGATCAAATTCCATCACCCCGAAAACATTACATTCGTTGCGAACTTTAGGCACATTAATAAGCGATTTGGAAGGGACGAGAGCTAGAGTTAATCACTCCCTGCTGGTGAAGTCTGAATTCTGTGTGAAAAACACGGGACAGGCGCCCAGTTGATAGACGTTCACAGGCCATTCCAGAATTTTGATTAATTGAAACATCACGACTCTGTGGTGCAGTGGACTGAGGTACAAGGATAGTAGTAGCTGGGATAGTAGTGATAGACGTTGGTATATCACGAATTTTCAGAGCTCATAAAGAAACAGGAAGACCCACATTCCATCGTCATTTCCTCTCGACCTGTTCATTCACCGGGTGTGGAAGTGTGAATTGTTCATTACTCTATAATTTGTTCGTGATTGTACCCATGTATAAACGTAAGTAACCATTCTTACAGGATTCATTACCTTTGTAACTTGTGAGTTCATTACCTTTGTACCTAGTTCACCCATCAAAACTTTGGGGGCCCAGTCCCTGGACCCATTACGTACCTCTGTAATCTGTAAATACCTTTGTAACTTGTCATGATTGTGACCAGACCTAGCTGGAGTTCATTACCTTTGTAAATTGTGAGTTCATTACCTTTGTAACTTGCTCAGCTATCAAAACTCTGAGGCCCATTCCCTGGACCCATTATGTACCTCTGTAATCTTTTGACTACCGCCCACAGGATGGGTATGGGGTGCATAATAAAGATATTAAACTAACTAACTAACCTGTTCATTCTCCTACGTGGAAGATAATCTTGTATTCCTCTCTCAGAAGCAGAACTTTTCCCGACTGTCAGGAGTAACTTAGAGAAGACACAGCTCAAATCAGCTTTTCATGTGCTTTAAAAAGTAAAAATATATTGAAATAAATTATATATGTTACTTCATCCTGTATATTTTTGTTTGCGTAAAAGTTTGTCCAGAAGACCTAATATGGAGGATGAGAAGAGGAGGAAGTGGAGAGAGGGGAAAAAATAGGCTGAAAAAGAGGAAAAGGTATGCAAATAAAATGCACTATATAGTAGGAAGTGATGGGAGAAGAGGAAACGAGCAATAAATCCATTTTTTTTTTAAATAAATTTTCCTTAACAGGCGGACTGAGTCATTAAAGGCTCGTATTTCATCTGAATGGCCACACATTCCACATAAGACACTCCTCTGAGACCTACCTTAGCGCTTGTCTGAACGTTCTCCATACATAACAACTATGAGGTAAATGATCTAGGAACTATAATGTCAATAAGAGAGCTATGGACGAAAGTGTTACTACCAGACATTATATTTATTCCATATCTCGGGAAGCTATATAATTTTGGTGGCTATTAAGAGGCTAAGTAATGAAAGTAATCAGATTTTAGCCATGCAAGAAGAAAGTGATTCCAATTCCTGGCTTAGAGAACCCTTCGCCAGCATCAAGGTGTCTCCCCTTGGAGAGATATAGACGTGATTTATCAGTTTATAAACATTCTAAAATAGATAAGCAGCCAACAGTTACATTTTTAATTCAAATATAGTCAATATTTTCTTTATTTTTATAGTTATGACTAGTTTTAAACCTGAGAAACTAATTTTCTTTTCAGGCAGGTTTAAATACAACTTGTTTAGGAGTAAAAAGTGTAAAGACAAGCAACGGCCGTGTCAATTAATCAGAGATCTCTTGGTTCATTGCAGAAGCCTCAACTCTTATTTCATCTGCTGGACAAGGAGCTGTAGATTGGCCACGATGCCGCTATTTTGTTGTGTTTCTGTTGCCTTATGTTATTATCTTATGGTGCAGACAACCAATACTCTCAAAACATGGCGCTTCATAACCCAAATCTTCAACACACAACACCTCGCTACCTTCACCCAGAACACAAGAAGAGACGCAGTGTTGGATCAAACACAGCACAAAGCCTCCAGGACCATCACAACCCACAAGATGAAGGAAAAGGTAAGATTCACTGCTCGTATCTAACCCACAACTTGGAGAGGGAAACTTGAAGACATTTTTATCCGTTCTTGATGTACAATGTTTCTTGACAGGGAGAAACATTGTCCAGGTTCCATTTGACGTTTACGGGTTGTAAATTTGTGGGTTAGTTGTAAATTTACGGGTTAGTTGTAAGTTATAAGTCTTTTAAGACGGGAATAATAAATGCATAAGTATCTATCAAGTCAAATAAAATATATTCACGTTTACAATACATCTCCCACGTACACAGAGTATCTCCCACGTTCACAATATATCTCGCACGTACACAATACATCTCTCACGTACGCTATACACGCAGCCGCTTATACACCTGTTTCAGGAAAGTAGTGAAACTAGTCGCATTCAGTTAAAGAGGTGGGGCCAGGAGCTGAAACTCGACCATTCTTATCTCCTCCCTGGCGTGGAGATTATGCGTCATTATTATTTCTACCTTTAAAGTTTTCTGCTTAAAACAATTCATCGTATTTTCTCTTCTCTGTTATTCCTGTTACTTGGGTGTCGTAGGTGCAGTTCTATATGTCTATCTCTCTATTTCTGTCTCTCTCTCTCTCTCTCTCTCTCTCTCTCTCTCTCTCTCTCTCTCTCTTCTCTCACCCTGACACATTTCCTTGGGTATTCTGCCAACTTTTCCAACAGTTACTGCTGTCTTAACATTGATATCAATTGCTCGTCTATCCTTTATAACATCTGCCTTGCTTATATATCAGACATTTCTTTTTGTCTTCCATCCAAAGATCGTGACTAACAGAACTGTTTACACTTGTGTGCAGGAATTTCTTCCCTGGTGGGAGAGTGGTGAATGTGACTGTGTCCACGATGACTGTGTTCCTCGACCATTTCCCCATAAAACATTTCCTCGGGTCACCTCAAGCATCTCCATGGTGGGCGGCACCTGTGGGCGGCGGGGGGTGGCCAGAGGGTGGTGTCTCTCTCACTCTACGGTCACAACCCTGAGTACTGGAGAGGACTCAACGACATTATCACACAGGTATAAAACTAAGTTCATAACTATTTACATAGGAGTTGAAATTTAGCGCTGGAAACTGGTAGGATAGATAATTAGAGCATTCAAGACAAGATGCTAAGCCAATGATGATCCTTTTTAAATAATTTGTTCTCTCTAGGCTGGAATACTGCTGTACATTAACATCCCCATTCAAGGCAGGTGAAATTGCAGACCTAGAGAATGTACAGAGAACCTTTACTACACGTATAAGTTCCATCAAACACCTTAACTACTGGGAACGCTTGGAAGCATTTGACTTGTACTCACTGGAGCACAGGCGAGAGAGATATATCATAATCTACACATGGAAGATTCTGGAGGGACTGGTCCCTAATATGCACACAGAAATCACTCCATACGAAAGCAAAAGACTTGGCAGGCGAAGCAACATACCCCCAGTGAAAAGTAGGGGCGTCACTGGTACACTAAGAGAAAACACAAGAAGCGTCCGGGGCCCAAGACTATTCAACAGCCTCCCACCAGCAATAAGGGGCATTACCAGTAGACCCCTGGTTGCTTCAAGAAGGAGCTGGACAGATACCTAAAGTCGGTGCCGGATCAACCGGGCTATGGTTAGTACGTTAGACTGTGTGCGGCCAGCAGTAACAGCCTCATTGATCAGGCCCTGATCCTGGGAGGCCTGGTCGTGGATGGGGTCGCGGCGGTGTTGAACCCCGGAATACCCTCCAGGGTAGGTAGGTAGGTGTGCCCGGTAGTTGCTTATGATCCACATTATGATGCATTTTCTCCTGACGAAAAAAAACACCTCTGGCAGTCTTTTAATTATAGCTAGAATACGAGTGATGGTAAATGTGTTTTTCTTTTTTTGAGACCAGTCCGCCTTGGTATTCAAAAAAAAAAAAAAATGATCAACGCTAAATCGACACAGTTTTGATGAACTTTTCACGTAATTTCGATCTGCTTCATTTTTATTTAGAGAAAACTAGCTTGGTGGGTTCACAGCCAAAGGACCCGGGTTCGATCTTGAGGTGGGTCGGAGATATTGTACATGCGTCCTGACAGGTGTTACCCTTGATCACCTAGCAGTATATAGTATCCAGATGTAAATAGGTACCCAGAAGTGGGTGGCATCCTGGGAAACGAGGTAGAGGGAATGTAGAATACCTTAGATAAGGATGAGCTTTGCAGTGAAGTTGAGGTAGGATAACAGCTCTTAGTCTGCAAATGAGCTGAGGTAAAATAAATGTTTTTAATGTTTAGATGAGCTGAAACAGGATAACAGTTCTCAGTTTGTGAATGAGTTAAGATAACAGCTTTTCACCTGTAATTTCCATTGTTTCGTGTATCGTGTAGTGCGAAACCGAGGCTTTGTTATCTCAAGCAAACTTTTCGCAAAGGCTCGACCTTTAATGAAGATCGACCTTGTGCGAAACGATGGTCAAAACTAATAAAGGCTTCTTCGCTGTTACCTGATTTTGCAGTCGCTTGTAACATTGTTCCCTCGGTGTGATTCGACAAGTTTACTTTCCAGGTAGGTCGTGTGTACCCGGGGTGGAGGGTACGGCTGTATACTGACCCCCGTGGGCGTGGCAGGATCCTGTGCCCCCTGCTACACGCCCACGCCCACTTCGATGTGTGTGACATCACTCGCCTTCCCCCACCTCTGGGTGACCTGTCAGCCGTCAATCCAATGATGTGGCGGGTGGCTCCCCTGGGGGATGTTCAGGTGACTGTTCTCCAGCTACGGGATACTGATTCCATGGTACGTAGGTGATATTAAGAATGACTTGATGTTACATAGGTGGTGTTCAAAGCGCGTCAGCAACGCGTATGTGAATATCAAGTAAGTAGGTCACTCCTAAGTGACGTAGGTGATGCTTAAGTAACCCTGCATGGTACGTAGGTGATACTTAAGGGTATCTTGGTGATGCTTAGGTGACGTATGTGGTGACTACCAAGTCCCTCAACTATCTACTCAAATTCCTGATCCTTTCAGGTATTTGAGTAGATAGTTTCGCTCTATTTTCGGCTCTAAGCAGAGCGAAACATTGCCTCAATAACTGCTGCTTCTTCTTCTTGATTCGCCGGTATTCTCCCGGCCCGGGCCTTTTCCAAGTGGTGGCCCGGCCCGGGCCTTTTCCAAGTGGTGGCCCGGCCCTGGCTCCCTGTCTAAGGAGTGTCTGAGACCTAAATCTCCCATGGGAGGAGGCACAACTACCCCCTCAGCTTTCGGACCAACTGTACCCAGGCCTAGCCACATTCCCCGCCCTCACGGAGCTCGTAGGGAGAAGCTAGGCCTCTCTGGTCTGCCATCCCCCCCCAAGGGGGCTAATGGGAATGACAGTCTTGTGAGCTGCAAGCTCTGGCTCAGGTACCTTCCCACTCTAGAAGAGTTAGGCATGGTGTCGATCTGAATAATTGCTTGTTCTCCTACATGTGCATGTTTTACTAAAATTAGTATAAGCACTAGGTAAGAAAATGTATGTAAGTTTTTTTTTTTTTGGGGGGGGGGAAATTGATAATTTATTATATATTATTCTTATTTGCTAATTAATACTAATAGGCTAATATTATTTATTTGCCAATTAACACAGTTCTTTTTGGAATGAATTTGGGGAAAATGTAGTTTTTTGAATGGTATTTTATGTGAATTTATGGCTATACTATGCACAGTATTTCGGGCAGTCAGAAAATATAATGTTAACTGTTACTGGAATGTTTTTTTTTTCACCGTAAATTTAAAAAAATCGCATCTTTCAGTCGTCCTTTAGGAAGAGTTAAGATTTAGATAAATTTGGAAATCAGATGTGATTTAGAAAGTGGTGTGTTAATGTTAACTGTGCCAGCCATATTGTGCGTACTGGTACAGTGTTGAAACACCGCCTCAGTAGTCTTCAAGTGGCCTTCCTTTTCTTTATCTATTACATAGCAGTTTTTTCCTCGTGTATCTGCTGAAGAGGTCCTCGGGTGAAGGTCGAGATTAGGGTAATGTGCATCCCACACTCATGCTGTGGGTGATAGTCAAAAGATTACAGAGGTACATAAAGGATCCAGGGACTGGACCCCAAAGTTTTGATAGATGAACAGGTTACAAAGGTAATGAACCTTTTACATGTCTATGTCTGGTCACAATCGTAAACAACTAATTTTCCTGCTTCTGTCTCCATGTTGTTGTTCCTTCTTATGGCAGGTGTTTATTGAACAATTGCTCATTAACGTTGACAGCGACTGTAAGTTTCTCATACGAGTAAATGAGTTTAAAACCCTTATAATCTGCCTAACAGATAATTCAGCGTGAGGTGGATGCCGTGAGGGACTGGCTCTCCTCTGACAAACAGTTTCACATAATGCGGGACCATCCCAAACACGACTTTGCTCTCATGGGTGGTTTGTGGGGCGTCCGCTGGGACCCGGACCCTACGGAACCAGCTGCCCGAAACCAGGATCCGAGTGCGATTAGTCTCGCTGGCCGGAGTCAGTATCCGGGTTCCACAGGACTCCCTGTCGGAGACCAAGGATCGAACTCAGCAGGATTCGCTGACCGAAATCAGAACATGAACAACACAGGATATTCCGGCCGTTTTCTGGCAGTCTTCAGAAACATTATGTTGACAAAAGCAAGGGATGAGGAGAAGCAGATGTATGGAGGTGATATATATATATTGGAAGTGAGTGTAAGGGGCCATTTTGCCTCAACTTAAACTTTCCGTAACTTCCCTCACGGGTCATACTAACTCTTTCATACTAACTCTGTCATACTATGTCATCCTAACTCATTTTATCTTCACGATAATCGAATACTTCTCGCTCCTCGAATTATAGAACATTATTCGAGTTAGCTCAACTGACAAAAAAAAAGTATTTAGTGATATAAACGAAAAAAGAATTAAAGAGCATAATGCCGTGGTTATCCACTAAGTCAGTGATATACTGATGATGGTAAATGTAGAGACATGGGTATCTGTCAGTGTATACTCCTAGAGGTTACTTTAATACTGTTTTGACTTTTAATGCATTGTAAATATTAATGTAATGTGTGATCTACCTTATTATTATTATTATTATTATTATTATTATTATTATTATTAGGAAATTTCAGATGCCAGGGTAATTAGCACCGTAATTTGAAGCCTTAATTGTCCTTACACAGGACTAATAGCCCTACCCTCCTCAGGAGATACTGTGGCCTTTCATGCAGTTTCGTGTGCTGACGCATGACAGTTACTACTGCGGGGACTATGAGAACGACACCGTGCCTTGGCCAACACAGAGGGTAGACGGTCGTTTTGCTGGCTTCCGCAGGTCAGTTGGTCAGGTCCACGATGCCTTTCTGGAGGAATTAATGGACAATTTTTTTTAGGTTTAGCATCTTTTCTCTTTGGAAACAGAGAAAAAAAACTAAAACAGATTACATAGAAGTTGTTAAAAACAAATGGCTAAAATATATAAAACTTGCACTCAGTGTATATAAAACTTGCACTCAGTGTATATAAAACTTGCACTCAGTGTATATAAAACTTGCACTCAGTGTAAGTAAAACTTGCACTCAGTGTATATAAAACTTGCACTCAGTGTAAGTAAAACTTGCACTCAGTGTATATAAAACTTGCACTCAGTGTATATAAAACTTGCACTCAGTGTATGTAAAACTTGCATTATGTGTATATAAAACTTGCACTCAGTGTATATAAAACTTGCACTCAGTGTAAGTAAAACTTGCACTCAGTGTATATAAAACTTGCACTCAGTGCATATAAAACTTGCACTCAGTGTATGTAAAACGTGCACTAGGTGTATATAAAACTTGCACTCAGTGTATATAAAACTTGCATTATGTGTATATAAAACTTGCACTCAGTGTATCTAAAACTTGCACTCAGTGTATATAAAACTTGCACTAGGTGTATATAAAACTTGCACTCAGTGTATATAAAACTTGAACTCAGTGAATATAAAACTTGCACTCAGTGTATGTAAAACTTGCACTCAGTGTATATATAACTTGCACTCAGTGTATATAAAACTTGCACTCAGTGTATATAAAACTTGCACTCAGTGTATATATAACTTGCACTCAGTGTATATAAAACTTGCACTAGGTTTTATAAAAACTTGCACTCAGTGTATATAAAACTTGCACTCAGTGTATATAAAACTTGCACTCAGTGTATATAAAACTTGCACTCAGTGTATATAAAACTTGCACTCAGTGTATATAAAACTTGCACTCAGTGTATGTAAAACTTGCACTCAGTGTATATAAAACTTGCACTCGAGAAGCATACTTTAAACTTTCTCATAATACTTTTTTTCAGATTCAGGAAAAAGTTCGAGAATGAGAAAATTCCGGAAGAGTGCCCGAAGAGATGCCGACCACCAGAGCATCCTGAGTGGCTCTACTGTTGAGCACCAGAGTATTCTGAGTGGCTCTACTGTTGAGCACCAGAGCATCCTGAGTGGCTCTACTGTTGAGCACCAGAGCTTCTGAGTGGCTCTACTGTTGAGCACCAGAGCATTCTGAGTGGTTCTACTGTTGAGCACCAGAGCATTCTGAGTGGCTCTACTGTTGAGCACCAGAGCATCCTGAGTGGCTCTACTGTTGAGCACCAGAGCATTCTGAGTGGCTCTACTGTTGAGCACCAGAGCATTCTGAGTGGTTCTACTGTTGAGCACCAGAGCATCCTGAGTGGCTCTACTGTTGAGCACCAGAGCCTTCTGAGTGGCTCTACTGTTGAGCACCAGAGCATTCTGAGTGGCTCTACTGTTGAGCACCAGAGCATTCTGAGTGGCTCTACTGTTGAGCACCAGAGCTTTCTGAGTGGCTCTACTGTTGAGCACCAGAGCATTCTGAGTGGCTCTACTGTTGAGCACCAGAGCATTCTGAGTGGCTCTACTGTTGAGCACCAGAGCATTCTGAGTGGCTCTACTGTTGAGCACCAGAGCATTCTGAGTGGCTCTACTGTTGAGCACCAGAGCATTCTGAGTGGCTCTACTGTTGAGCACCAGAGCATTCTGAGTGGCTCTACTGTTGAGCACCACAGCATCCTGAGTGGCTCTACTGCCGACCATCAGAGCATCCTGAGTGGCTGTACTGTTGACCAACAGAGCTATCTGATTGGCTTTACCGCTGAGAAGTAGAGCTCCAAGACTGGCAGTTACAAGCAACTTACAACCAGTGTAACCTGCCTTACCAACACTTAATTGTACATGTTGCTTAATGTTCTCGTGGCTGTTGTCACCGTTTGTTTACATCACTCATTGCTGTAATATCAAGGACAGTCTGCAGACTGCTGGGACCCAGAATAAAAATATTACGCATTTAGTTATCCTTCGTTAATTCATCAGCACTTTACAATTACAGAAAATAAATCATCACTACCAGGGGCAGACGTACATTTGTGGGGCCCTGAAGCCTGAACCGTTATGGGGGCCCTTTCGCAACCCCTTCTCGTTCAGTGAATCCAAAATTTTTAAGCAATGTGGGCTAAAGTCGCTTCTGGACCCCTCCGGTATTAGGGTCCTAAAGATTAAGCTTTATTAATTTCATAGTTTATCCGCCCCTGTCCACTAGTGTAGCCTGTTTATCTTACTGAAGGTTGGGTCCCTCTCCCTTGATTCATTATGACTTTCTGTATTTTTTTATGAATGTAGTGAACACATGAATGATGTGTGTGTGTATATCTGAGCCATGAACTTAAAATTATTGTAGTGGTTTTCAGAATTAAATTTTAGATGTTTTTCGTTTTTGTGTGATGGAGTATGACAGGAAATTTAACATGTGATGATATTCCATCAAATGTGACGGAATATGACAATAGAAACCATCTTGCGTCGGTTAATTAAATTTATTAACAATATGAGGATCATTAAGGCTGCATGTCACCTGTTTATCACCGGTAAAGAACACTTCAGTCTCTAAAATATGGACTCAAATACGTTGTCAGCGAATGTACAATGAGAGAGACATCCCGCGGTGTATATATCCTTTTTCCCTCTAATATTAGGTAAAAAGCAAAAGAATATTGGAAAATTTTCATCATTAGAAATTGAGAGAGGCAAACAGTGCTTACTGAAGGGCAAACAGTGCTTACTGAAGGGCAAACAGTGCTTACTGAAGGGCAAACAGTGCTTACTGGGGGCCAAACAGTACTTACTGGACGACAAACGGCGCTTGCTGAAGAGCAAACAGTCCTTACTGGGGGGCCAAAAAGTGCTTACTGGAGGCCAAACAGTGCTTACTGGAGGCCAAACAGTGCTTACTGGAGGCTAAACAGCGCTTACTGGAAGTCAAACAGTGCTCACTGGAAGCGAAACAGTGCTTACTGGAGGGAAAACAGCGCTTACTGGAGGCCAGTGTTTACCGGAGGCCTAACAGTGCTTACTGGAGGGCAAATTGCCTCTCAGCTTTGAAAAAACACAGCTCTACTATCTAAATCAAAACATAATTTGGAAACCCAGCCCCTACCTTGCTACCTATCCCCTACGTAATGACGCAGCACCTACCTAACTACCTAGCCCCCTACTTAACGACCCAGCCCCTACCTGACTACCTAGCCTCTACATAACGACCCAGTCACTACCTGGTCACTCACTGTCTGGCCACCTTAAACCAGTCACTGCCTGGTGGTCACAAAGTGACTACCTGGTGGTCAGAAAGTCACTACCTGGTGGTCACCCAGTCACTGCCTGGTGGTCACCATGTCACTACATGGTGGTCACCCAGTCATTGCCTGGTGGTCACCCAGTCACTGCCTGGTGGTCACCCAGTCACTGCCTGGTGGTCACCCAGTCACTACCTGGTGGTCACCCAGTCACTACCTGGTGGTCACCCAGTCACTACCTGGTTGTCACTCAGTCACTACCTGGTGGTCACTCAGTCACTAACTAGTGGTCACCCAGTCACTACCTGGTGGTCACCCAGTCACTACCTGGTGGTCAGCCAGTTACTACCTGGTGGTCAGCCAGTCACTACCTAGTGGTCAGCCAGTCACTACCTGGTGGTCACCCAGTCACTACCTAGTGGTCAGCCAGTCACTACCTGGTGGTCACCCAGTCACTACCTGGTTGTCACCCAGTCACTACCTGGTGGTCACGCAGTCACTACCTAGTGGTCACCCAGTCACTACCTGGTGGTCACCCAGTCACTACCTGGTTGTCACCCAGTCACTACCTGGTGGTCACCCAGTCACTACCTAGTGGTCAGCCAGTCACTACCTGGTGGTCAGCCAGTCACTACCTGGTGGTCAGCCAGTCACTACCTGGTGGTCAGCCAGTCACTAGTGGTCAGCCAGTCACTACCTAGTGGTCAGCCAGTCACTACCTGGTGGTCACCCAGTCACTACCTGGTGGTCAGCCAGTCACTACCTGGTGGTCACCTAATCAATACCTGGTGGTCACCCAGTCAATACCTGGTGGTCAGCCAGTCACTACCTGGTGGTCAGCCAGTCACTACCTGGTGGTCAGCCAGTCACTACCTGATGGTCACCCAGTCACTACCTGGTGGTCACCCAGTCACTACCTGGTGGTCACCCAGTCACTACCTGGTGGTCAGCCAGTCACTACCTGGTTGTCAGCCAGTCACTACCTGGTGGTCAGCCAGTCACTACCTGGTGGTCAGCCAGTCACTACCTGGTGGTCAGCCAGTCACTACCTGGTGGTCAGCCAGTCACTACCTGGTGGTCAGCCAGTCACTACCTAGTGGTCAGCCAGTCACTACCTGGTGGTCAGCCAGTCACTACCTGGTGGTCAGCCAGTCACTACCTGGTGGTCAGCCAGTCACTACCTGGTGGTCAGCCAGTCACTACCTGGTGGTCAGCCAGTCACTACCTAGTGGTCAGCCAGTCACTACCTGGTGGTCACCCAGTCACTACCTGGTGGTCAGCCAGTCACTACCTGGTGGTCAGCCAGTCACTACCTGGTGGTCAGCCAGTCACTACCTGGTGGTCAGCCAGTCACTACCTGGTGGTCAGCCAGTCACTACCTGGTGGTCAGCCAGTCACTACCTAGTGGTCAGCCAGTCACTACCTGGTGGTCACCCAGTCACTACCTGGTGGTCACCCAGTCACTACCTGGTGGTAAGCAAGTCACTACCTGGTGGTCAGCCAGTCACTACCTGGTGGTCAGCCAGTCACTACCTGGTGGTCACCCAGTCACTACCTGGTGGTCACCCAGTCACTACCTGGTGGTCAGCCAGTCACTACCTGGTGGTCAGCAAGTCACTACCTGGTGGTCAGCAAGTCACTACCTGGTGGTCAGCCAGTCACTACCTGGTTGTCAGCCAGTCACTACCTGGTGGTCAGCCA